TACACCTGACAGCGACAAAGACTGGCAAATGTACGTGAAAATGGAGAACCCTCGAGGCCACAACGAATTTCTTCGACAGTGACAGGCTCTCTCCATTGTCCGTAAAGCTGAAAATGACCCTTTCATCTCCTTAATCAAATGAATCAATGAAATAGTTTGTTCTAAAAGGTAAAAAAAAAATCCTAAAAACACCTCCAGGCATTTTGATTTTTCAGGTGAGCAAGGAAGCTGCTGTTAAAATGGACTTGAAAATGGGGACTGATCTGAACTTAATGCTTCATCTTTTTAGCAAGAAAGCAAACAACACACTGATACATGCATTTCGTCTTCTCTGATATTTTTTTCATTTTTATTTTGCATATGCTCTGTTTTCAAGGGTTTTGTGTTTTTTGATCACCCTGCCATTTTGCATATTAGGGCTTAAAAGGAGCATATTCTTTTATTAATCACTGTAACTTTACACATACGTGTGTATTTTTTGCACGTATGTGTTAATTTAAGGCTTATGTACACATACCTGTGTACATATCTTCTCTATGTATACACCAAAAACCCTAATTTTAACACTTTATTTCATATCTGTTTAGGGTTTTTGATGTTTCTTGGTTTACCCCTTTTTGTGGAAATTATTATGCATGTTTTCACATTCATGTATCTTGTTATATATATGAGTTGTATATATGTATGTATCTTCATCTGTATATGTTTTGTAGGTTGAAGAAGACCCAACAGAGCAAATCGAAGAGGGTTCCCTGGAAAATTACTCAAATGAACGAAGACAAATCTTTTTCGAATCTTTCAATGTCAGAGAAAAGAAAGAGGCTTATGGCGATGGTGGATACGAGGAAAAATTCAAAGAGGAAAAAGCTTGAAATGCCTTACATGCTTGAAAAGGGGGAAAAGACAAATAGCAAGAAACCCATCAATGGAGGTACTAAAATGATGAAATCAAACTCAAGCACATTTAAAAAAAAGCTCCAAAATAGCAGGCGGAAAGTGAAGAAGAAGAAGGTATCTCAAGTAGGTGATCATAATCATGTTGCTGCATCTGATGCTTCAAATGAGCGCAAGTTTAATTCATCTGAAATCGAAGAATATTGGGTCCCAGTTCATCTTTCTCATACGCAAATGGAACAATATTGTTCCTTGTTAAATTCCAACTTTGAGTCACTTTCATCATCTTTAAGGGACAATTCTTCACTCAATGACATTCTCACACAAACCCAAAAGGTTTGAATTTCTATTGTGTTATTTGGTAAAACTGATTTTAATTTAATTTAATTTTTTATTTTTGTTGCAGTGCTGTGATCACCCGTATCTTGTGGACCCCACTTTACGTGAATCGTTGAAAAAAAATCTTCTCGTTGACCAATTGGATGCTGAAATCAGTGTGAGTGGGAAACTACAGCTTCTTGACAAGCTTTTGTTAAAGATCAAAGAATGTGGTTTGAGAGTAATTGTTCTATTTCAGGTAACCTAACTTTGTAATTTTTGTATACTTAAAGCTTTAAATAAGGATTATAATGTTAAAAATAAGTAAATAACATTTTTTTTTGGTAACATATTACAGTCAGTGGTTAGTTCCAAAACTATATCAATTGGAGACATTTTGGATGATCTTGTTGATAAAAGATTTGGTCAAGATTCTTACATACGTATCCATGGAAAGATTCTTTACAACCACGAACGCGAAAAGAGAAAACAAGATTTGAAATTGTTCAACAATTTAGAAAATGGAAAATTTGTTTGCTTACTAGATTATCGCACATGTCATTCCACCATTAGGCTTTCATCTATAGATGTGGTGATACTTTTCAACAGTGATTGGAACCCGTCAAGTGACTTAAAAGCCCTTCGAAAGCTTACCCTCGATTCAAACCGATTACGAGTTTTGAGGTTATATTCGTCATTCACCATTGAAGAAAAAGCGCTGATTCTTTCAAAGAAAGGTTCGATTTATGACCACAATTTGGCTGGTATTAATTACAATAATTGCCACCGGTTGTTAGCATGGGGTGCATCTTATTTGTTAAAAAAGCTCTCTGAAGAACCAAAGTCAAAGTCAAAGTCAAAATCAGAAAACACTTGTTTCATGGATGATTTGGTTGATGAGTTGTCATCTCTATTGAACAAGAATGGGGATATTGAATGTTTAAAAGGCTCGATGATATCAAAAGCACAGATTCACAAAGGAGTTTATTCTAAAAATATGTTATTGTTGGGTGAAAGTGAAGCACACACGAAGGAAAGTTGTTCATACTTGATTGAAAATGGATCACTTTTGTTTTGGACGAATTTGTTAAAAGAAACTCCATGGGAGAATTCATGTAGCAGGTTATCTCGAAGGGCACAAAAGTCATTTCGACATGAACCTGAAAACGAAAGTGATATGGAAAATTTTCAGATCAATACAACAATTACTCCCCCTTCTGTGAGAACAAGGGTGAGAAGTAAAAGAAGAGTGTGTACTCAAGTCGAGCAAAGTACAAGTTCTGCTGCAGAATGTACAAACAATCAACCTCAACAACCACAAAATCCGCCTGTAATACCACCGGTTTCTGATCAATCTTGTAATGATGTCCCTTTAGAAACGGAATTAGAAAACATCAAGAAAGAGCGAGAAAAAATCAAGAAATTACATGAAGAAAAGGTAATAAAGAATTATTATATATATTAGTATTACTTTTTGTATTATTTGATGATAACGATTATCTTGTTGATTTTGTAGAAATCGATGCTAATTTCTGAATGTGAAAAGGAGATTATAGAGGTACGGAAGAAGTACGATGGATTAATTGATGAATCTGAGATGTGTTTAACGAAGAAGATGAATGTTCTTGAACAATATTATGATCTTGTGTATGCGAATAAAGTTTTGGCTGACACTTTGACACGTACATGTGATGATACTTTTGATGAAGAGAAATCTGATAAAGGTATGCAAGTTGAAATCTTTCTGCCATTTTTATTCATCACATCTTTCAAGGTCATTGTTTGTATTTCTTTTTTTATTGCAGAAATTGGTGTGATGAGAGTTCTTGAAATCCCTGCATCGACACTTGTACAATCAGTGAACCGATGTAAAAGTACAACCAGCATTCCAACTTTACGTGCTCCAGCCCCTCATTTAAGGTCAAGTTCTTCATTGTTTCCATCATTGCCCACTTTGTCAACTCCCCAAACACAAACAGAATTGAACAATGTGGATTATCAAGTAAACACTGAAAAGCTTCCCGTGTTTCAATCTTCAAACTTATGGCCTGAGTTGCTTGTGGAATTTGACACTTTTTATGATATGGGTTTTCCAAGTTTGCCATTTTTGGATTCAAATTAGGGGAGTTCTTGATCTTGTATGTGTTGAAGTTCTAGTTTAAAAGGGGTTCATGGTGACATTTTTGGAGGTAAGGTTTGTGTTCATATGAAGTAGTTGGAAGCGTATAGACACGTAGTATGTGTAAAGAAATTTAGGATAGAAACACATCATGTCAACATCAGTATTTGTTGATCTAGCATGGTGAAAAAAATCACCAAGTGATTGATATTGTTTCAAAAATGGTTTTGTAGGTCTTAGATTGAATGTTATATTTATATATATTGTTCAAGTAGTTACCTATAAAGGTTCAAATTTAAAAAGAAAAATAAATTTTGTTTGCGTACTTGAATCTCAAACTTAATCGTTAAATACACAAGTAACCAAAAAAATGGATTAGGGATTTAAGTCGGCTGAGAACTAGTAATATACTTCACTCTCGCTGCTTATATTCCAATGTACATTATCTTTTACTCATAATAGCAACCTAAGTATGTGTTATACCCATGTTTGTGGATAATTACAAAGTAGTCTTATGGTTAAATGAACAAAAGGCTAAATGCAAAAAATAACAATGTATGAGAATATATATTTGTATAGGGTTAGTTTCATCTTAGAGAATCTCTAATGATTAACCCATGCTAAGACTCAAAAAAATCACCAACTCATCATTCTTATAACTTTAAGCTATAATAAAATAACATCTCCAATGATCGACCTTTTTTTATAATTTTTTTTAAAATTAACTAATATATCATAATCTATCTAAAATATTCTATAACCCCCCTCAATTAAATAGTCGTTTTTTAAACACACATTATATCCAAAATGTCACAAACATAAAAACATATAAATACAATTATGCCGGGTCTTTATTATATATACATAAAATATGAAAAAAAAATATTACGTTATAGTTATAAAAATAAAAAATGTTTTAAAAACATTATATAGTCGATATAAAATTTATATTTCGTAAATAAATTTATATTATAAATAATATAATGAATTATTTAGTAAAGAAATAACAAATATTTAAAACTAAAATATATTTAAGGGATAAAATGAAATACTACTAACGGATGACGACTTAGATGTAGTAAGTGTAAAAGTATATTGATCACTCAATATATTTAGAGCAGTCAATAAAAAAACCAAATAAGCTATCTTATCCAATGATATTGACCACTTAATTAAAATAAATAAATAATAATAAGCTAAAAAAGCTCCTATTAAAGATGATTTAAGACAAAATATGTCGGGAGTGAAAAGTTGTTGTCAGTGATCCAGCATCATCGAGTGATGATGATATTTGTTGTGAACCGTTCAAAACCATCTTATAATGGTTCTAAATTGATATCATGGTACTTTCCCGTTTTGGATGTTTTCACTAGTATATATCCGATTAACATGAAGAAATACAACCTTTATCAAGTCCAAACGATTGTCGAACATCAGATCTGCTCGTCTCTGCTGGTCTACACAACTTCTCGACACATAATATAATCCCAAAGTACTTCATTTGTACAACTAATACCATATAGAATGTCTTAAACAAGGAATAATTTAAAAATATAATGTTGTAATGATATAAAATAAAAGGATAATGTTATAATAAAAAAATAAGAAGTACATTGCTATTTGTTGAATACATATTTTGGTTTTAAACCCTTGGAAGTTGGAAGGCACATAAATTAGGCAAAAACCGTAAAACCCTCACATACGCACGCACAGAAATGGCGACTGCAGCGGGCGCAGCTCGATCTGTTTTCCGATCAACTTCTCTCCGTAACGCAGCGGCTAGGGCAGCATCCCAACCCAAAGCTGCACCTTCTGCCTTTGGCATACCTAGTCGGAATTCTCTATCTCAACGCATTTTCCGGTAATTAGTTATACGCATTCCCTCTCATATACGCTCCTCCGCTCCCATGGATATGCTACTTTTCAAGTCCAAATTGATTTGAGTTTTGAAACTTTTGGTAAAAACAAACTTGCGAAGTGAATTGAATTTCTGTTCGCTTTTCAGTTAAATCGATATTCACTTTGTGTATACAAAGTACTAGATCCAGGTGTATAGGAGATTGAAAAGACTATCTGTATACATACATAATTATTTCATCCGTTCACGTATGTAACTGGAAACTGTTGTTGGCGATCTATTGCAGTTGTCCAGTAGAAATGAGTGCTTGTTTGGAGTCAATGCAACCTTTCCACACTGCTACTGCTTCGGCCTTGATGACATCCATGCTTACCCTTTCTCAAAACGGCTATGGTTGGCTACCCGAAGGTGATAATTCAGTTTCCATTTATCCGCTTCTTTACATTGTTTAGCCTACAAATTCACTCATATCCATTTTGTGCAAGTCCTCACTCATTAAATGTGTAAAAGTCGATTGGTGTTAGTATGTGTTTCTGTAAGAGGTGCTGAGTGATGGGATATGTTGTTGTGGGTTATGCAAATTTCATGCTATTTTCGACTTCCTTTTCCAAGATTGGATGGGTAGTTTTAGGGTTCATCGATCCAAAAGCTCCTCCTCTAAAGTCTTCTCCTAATCATTTGGATATTTTTTTTTTCTTATTGATTAGGTATCTAACGAAGCGTCATAGGTCCCTCAATGTTCTTACCTCATGAGTTTTAGGTAAGTTTATGGAAATGGATAGGCCTTATTGAACCCTAGAAGCAACATTCTTATATTCATTTTCTTACCAAAACTTCCCAATACCTTTTTCCATACCCTATTTTTGCACCCATCACAAAATCTTTGTGTCTTGATAAATACAAGTTCATTTTCTTTAATAAAGTGGTGTACATGCTTCATTTGTAGGCGTTGAGAAGACGAGATGAAGATGGAGAGAAGCAAAGATGGAATGAGTTGGACTTGTCTTTTTTTCTTTTTGAATAGGGAACATTTAGGTCCATTAGAGTTATATTTCTTGAACCAATAATGAAATATAAACTTTTGAAATGAGTTTACTAGTTTGATATTGTGTTGGGTTTTATGACATGGCTCACATTGATTTTGTAGTTTTCAAATTCAAGTATATCATTATATGCGTTAAATATATGCATGAATGAATGTAGTTGTTTATACACAATTTGGTTTAGAGGGTGTGAAAAACAGACACTAATTTACTGTGTGTTGATCAGCTTGCAACAATGATGCATGATGGTTCATCGAAGTTGAGAAAAGTATGGAAACGAAGAAAGAAAGTTGGAATTGGATGGATAAAGTTGGTATTTAGGTTCTGAAAGATGTGAACAATTTCAGGTTGTTAGAGATTGCTATTTGATCTTGCAATATATACAGACAGACTTACACTGTTTTTATGCAAGTTGGACTTCTTCTTTTTATTCTTTTTATTATGACTTTGGTAACTATTTATTATACTTGTGTTAAAAACAGTTAGCGTGGTTAAATTGCGGAATTACTAAAGGAAGATCCAAAAAAATCCAATTCTAATATGACATTGTTTTTAAAGTAAAGAAAGAAATGAATTAAAAAAGCAAACATGATGGATCCATCAAGTGAAGTGAAAGTGATGATGAGACTTATTGATAAGTTACAAGTAATAATACCAAGGAATAAAATCATGCCAGCTAGTACAGCTTTCTCTTTTGAGTTTTGAGCAGTATGTTGTATCTTCATCGCTCAAATAAAATCTTCACAAAAAAAGAAAAAGAAAAAGAAAATCTTGTTCTGGGTGGGTCTAATTCATTCCCTCCTTACAAGTTACAACTCCAAATGTTTACATATATAAATGCAAAATTGGTGTTATTGTAAGAAAAAAATCAAAGATGATCAATGATGGCTTTAGTGAAGTCAGTGGTTGTTGAAGATCCCCCAAGATCACCAGTCCTGTACTTCCCTTCCGCAATTGTTTTCAAGACAGCCTCCTGAATCTGATCAGCTTTTTCATTAAGATCCAAATGGTGAAGCATCGACACAGCACTCAGTAACAATGCAGTTGGGTTTGCCAAATTCTATATAAATTATATAACCATAAGTCAATAATATTATTAAGTCAAAGTCAAACACAAAGTCAACCAATACCAACCTTTCCAGCAATATCAGGAGCTGATCCATGAACAGCCTCAGCAAGAGCAATACCACCCTCTCCAATGTTCAAACTTGGTGTTAACCCTAATCCTCCAATTAGCCCAGCACAAAGATCACTTATGATGTCACCATAAAGATTTGGCATCACTAAAACATCAAACAGTGTTGGATTCTTCACTAGCTGTCATCATTTATAAACAATTAATTTATCAAAAAAAAAAAAACAAAAGATTACAACTTTCAGGACTAAAAGGATAAATTGGACAGATTTTATTTCTCAAATATGACATTAACACTATAATATAAATATTTTAAAATAAAGAGATAAGAGGTTATATTCATACCATCATACAACAATTGTCAATGACAACTTCCTCGTATTTAATCTCAGGGTATTTCTCAGCAACTTCACGACAACACTACAAGTGATACAAAAAAAAAAAAAAAAAAAAATCAGTATAATCCCCTGTAAAAATAATTTTAAGTTTTTTTTTATATAATTTATTGGAAAATACCTTCAAAAACAGACCATCAGACATCTGCATGATGTTAGCTTTGTGTACAGCAGATACTCTCTCCCTTCCATGGGCTTTAGCATAATAAAAAGCATATTCAGCCACCCTTAAACTTGCTTGACGTGTGATGATTTTAAGACTTTCAACAACTCCTCTCACCACCTATAATAATCATAAGATTTTGTAAATAAAATGGCAATGATCTACTTTTGAAGTCAATTTATTACAATGATGAAATGAATCAAATCATATGCTTACTTGATGTTCAAGACCACTGTATTCTCCTTCTGTGTTTTCACGAATAGTGACAAGATTTACATCATCATAACGAGTCTTGTAACCAGGTAGACTGTAGCATGGTCTAACATTGGCATATAAGTTGAGTTCTTTTCTTAGGGTGAGGTTTAAGGAACGATGACCTTTACCAATTGGTGTAGCCATTGGGCCTTTTAACCCCACTTTGTTTTGTCTTACTGATTCTAGACTTTCCCATGTAACAAAACTTTGAGTTCTTGGATCAACTTCTGTCCCCACAAAATGTTCTTCCCATTCAATTGGGACATCTGCAGCTGTGAATACCTGCAAATTGTGGAAAGGAAAAACTTAACATCACTATAGAGTTAACATTCTTTGTTGTTGAATCGAATTTGTAGCCATTTCACCCCATGAATTTAACAGGTTCATAAGTCTCACCTGGTGTAAACATACAAAATATGGTTTTCTTTTTCGTAGTTTGAAGCAAACTAGATATTGGCGTAAAGTTCCATTGTTAGTTCAGTAATTAACTGCTTCGTTAGCCAACAAAGTTTAAGGTCTCTATCAACGGAAGTACAAATTAGCTACAACTATATCAATTGGTGCAAAAGGAATCTAACAGTTATTAACTTTTGTGGAATCCACAAAGAAAACAACGTAAAAGTGTAAAACATTGAAACGCTTAAACCCTAAGCATAATATAACTATAGAGAAAGACAAATGACACGATGGAATCATAAACAGAAAAAAGTCAAAACATCACAATACTTCTACAAGTATAAGCAATAATCGGAGCATGAAATAGAACTGTTTGGACCTGTTTCACGGATTCGGCGATCTCGGGACCGATACCATCGCCGGGGAAGAGAGTGGCGCGGATCAGATTGGAGCTGGAAGAATAGTTCCGATCGATCGATGAGAAAAGTCCTAAACTAGGGCTTCTCGACATCGTGAAGACTTCATTGGTTGTGCGGCTGCGAAGGAGGCGTTTCGCAATTTGAAAAGCCATCGTTAACAACTCGCTGACTGAAAACAAGATCGGAGGTGACAAACTCAAATTACAGAGATTTTGAGGAATTGAGATGAAAAGAAAAGAAGGAATATAATTGCATTATTGGGGGAAGAAGGGTCTAATATGCTGCAATCGGGTCCACTGTTAAAATATTGTAATTGGGTGTTTAGATATTTGTTTTCAAAATTCCAGTTTTAGGAAACTACATCTGTCTAAAAGGTAACTGCGATTTCTTTAAGATCCAATCATTTAATTTCAGTTTTATTCATTTGCCAACAAAGATTTATTTACAGGATATGAACAAGGTTGATTGGTGCTTTACATATTTCATTATTATTTAATAAGTTTATGAAATTATGAGGAAAATCAAATATTTTTTTTCATATTGACATATTAGATTTTGTCACTAAACCATTAGAAGACATACATTTTGGTTTTTGAATGGATATGAAAATAACATGTATTTGTGGATCTAATATGAGTTTTCTTTTTACGGATTTGAGGAGTTGTGTTTCAATGTTGGATAGACAACTTTAAAATTGACTAATGCAAAATGGCAAAAAACTATAAAATGTGTATGACAATTCAACATGTGTTTATACAATTTGTATTTAATGGTTTTGGTTATCTAGTATCAGAGGCTATAGATATTCTTAATAGAATTCAACATGTCATATATATTAATGTGATGACTATAAGACTTAAGATCTATGGGTGTAGTTTTTAAAAAAATTACTTTTGCAACCTATAAAAAAATTAGCAACATAACTTGTTGTTTATTTTTCTTTCATCTCTATGTAATTATGTTCATTAAAAAATATTATCTTCTTAGGATGATTTAATTTCTATTTTGATGTTTGTGCGGAAATAATTAATCCCATTAGGCCCAATTTTTTGTTGGAGGCAAGATGTTAAGTTTGGGTGTCTTGGTCCCTTAAAGGTGAGTAGATTAACCAAAAAACCGATCCATAACCAAATTAACCGATATAACTAAACCATTTTAATTGAATCATTACTAAAATATATGGTTCGGTTTCTAATTTTGATTAACCAAATACATATGGTTCGGTTATGGTTTTCATCAAAGTCCGAACCATTATAAACCGAACCGAAGTAATAATATTAATAAATATTTTTAATATAATATAATATTAATTATATGGTATGTAATTATATTAGAAATTGAAATTGTAAATGGTAGTTATTTGGAGTTAGATATGATAAGTAATCTTCAATCCATACAATTATATATACATAATCATTCACTTTTTATAATCATAGAATTTGTGTTTTTCAATTTTTAAAGAAAAATATTTTTATTTTTATGTCATCTTGGATAATTTTGGTTAACCGATATTAACCATTAACCGATTAAAACCGTTAACCAAAACCAATATTAACCGTTGCCCAATGGTTATCGAAATACATTAATCAATTGTAATGATTATGGTTCGGTTTTGATTAATAACTGAACCAAACCATCTCATACACACCCTTAACCCAAACTTTGAACCTAGTCAAATTTTGGTCTTAATAAGTTTTTTTCCCTATAATTTGGACTAGATTTTATATTAATGAATCCACACTATCTTTGATGGATCTTGTTCCTTGATGGGTAGGTCTATAACAAGTCCTAACCAAGCTTATGGCTTCGTTTTTTCCTATTGTTTTATTTATTTTCCAATTTACATTTCCCTAGTAATTTAGTAGAAAAGATAGATGTGTCTTTAAGAGGCCATCTTAGAACGATCGAATATGTATTTGTATAATATCACTTGTGCTTTAGAATAGTCAAATATATACAAATATGAGTACATACAATAAGCCATGTGCCTTTGTGCACATGGAAACATATGTATATACAATTACATAGAGTATTTGTTACTCTTTATTTTTTCTTTCTGAAAGAGGTTTGTTACTCTTATTATTCATAAAAATGATTGGACTTGACCTGCAGACTTGCCATTTAGTTAAAAAAATAAAATTGGACCAATCTTAAATCCCTAGAAGTTGGTGAGTTGTAGTTTGGCAATTTGTTCATGAGTCCAAACTAATTTGACCCTTATATAATGTGAAAATCAGATAATTCTAGCGGGAATAGGGTTGAAAACCACTTCTTTCTTTGGTTCTTGAAGAGGAGGGCATTTCCAAAAGATCAAATTGACGATATATAGTTGTAAGA